TGTAATAGTCCTATCTGTTTCATTATGTGCTTTAAAGACCGGATGGAATGAATTAAACGCCTCTCTTGTTGACCCTTAACACAAGAGCTGCGGTGTCAGTGGGGTATAGTACAGAGATAAAAAAACTAAAAAGAAGACAAACTTACAGGCAGTACAATACAGGCGATACAAATACAAAACGACTTCTTGGTCAAGGTAAATATTGTGGTCATGCTCAGTCACATGTTTTCATGAGGATTATCGAAGGATTCACACCTCTGCCTCTGTACAATCCATGTATCTACCGTCCATTTGTTTTTCTTTAATAAACAAGTAAACGGAAGAGCGTCTGAGAGGCCTTTTTGCTTTTTACCTTACTAAATGGTCTAATGGTCATTGGAGCGAGGGGCGGGGCGAAACTCACGGAAGTGATTTCAAAACAAAAGCACTCGTTTGCTTGGAACTGTGATAATATTATAAACAAGATGAATTTAGCGATCACAACGAAAACAGCCAAGACACATTTTGAGCCCAGAAAACTAATGTTATTAAAGGCTGTAAATATAATAAGCCTATGTCTAAAATGGACAACATTGTAAGGAGATTTAAACTACAGCGATTCTGCACTGCGGTCACTCAGCCGTCTCTCGCGTTTGTTTTTTCAAATCAGCAGCTCTTCATTTTTTGTCCTGCTATATTCAATGAGTGATACAAATATTCTTTACCACAAGTTCTTAATAAAACTGACTCTCTTGGACTCGGTACTAGTTTGACTTCTACCAGAAATTAAATGAAGTACTTTTCCTGTGTACTTTGTGAGTAATCCTCTGCTATCTTTGATGAGTGATAAAAATATAATTTTACCATTAGTTCTTAATGAAATTGATACTGTTTGACTTTGTATTAGTTTGATCCTGTGTTCACTTTTTTGGGAACTGACACTTTTTGTAAACTTCCTTGTAGTTTCAGTGACATCCTTATCAGCGTATGATAAAAACCAAGTTATTTAAATATAAGCAAGGCAACGTAATTGAAACGTAAAAAAATGATATAAAATGTAATCTATCCATCATTTTTGCTTTTAGCATTTAGCTCATTAGCTAGCTACTAGCCACGTAGCTACATCGCTAATCGCTATTACCATTAGTTCTTAATGAAATTGATACTGTTTGACTTTGTATTAGTTAGCCTATACTAACAATACATTGAAGTACTTTTACTGTGTATTTTTTTAGAAATACTCTGTCAAAGTCCCCTGCTGAGAACAAAATCAAGCCACTTCTGCTAAGTTTGATGAGGGAATTATTTTTTGTTGCCATTAGTTCTTCGTGAGATTGATCCTGTTGGACTCAGTGAAACGATACCCCCACAAGTACTATGAAGTACTTACTGTGTACTTGTCCAGTAATCCTCTGTCAATGTCCCCTCCTGAGTACAAGAATGCATGTTTTTCTTTTAATAAGCATTAAAAAACATTTCTTCCTGAGACTGATATTGCTGGACAGAGTATTTTAAGAGGATATGGTAGACATGATATCAGCACTACTTCCAGTCAGTACTCCGGCAGCAGCATTTTTACACCTTGGAAAGTCTTTAGAGTCTGGCCTGGATAGCTAGTCACAACTATCCTTCAGCAAAGTGACACACTCTGTCACTCTGGTTGGCCCCTTATGATGCTGCTGTCTTTTAATATATGATTATTTCTCAGCCGCTAGTTTGTTCCTCGCAGATTCTTCAGTCTCATCAGCCTCCTTCCATCAGTCCCAGTTAACGCCTCCAGCACACTTCCAGTGTCTGACTCCAAATGATATTGTCCTGATGCTGTAAGGGTGATGCCCCATGATCACTAAATGACCCCTCTAGAGTCTGAGTGCCAAGGACCTCATACAGTATGTCTGTCATTAATGTTACATCACCCATTATAACAATTTTCTTTCCTTTTTTCTCTACTCTTAACTGAATAGCCCTGTCTTTAAGTATAACACAATATAAAGTATTTTTCCTGCACCATTTTAAGGCTTCAAAACAGGCATTTTTACTGTATGTGTTTGGAGAAATTACACAATCAATGGCCCAGAATTGTACTTTATAAACTATGAATCTTGTGGTGCTTGAAAAAATACACACTGGCTAAGCCGGCCAGGATATATATATATGCCTTTTTTGGAGCCCTTTTTTGCAATATTTATTCAAATGTCACTAGTTATTTAAACAAACCACTATCTGATGATAATACAAGCAACCATAAAATGCCCTTTATCTAGAGAGCCATTGAAGCCCATGAAGAATGTATCCTTCCACAAATCTTTTCATCTGCTGTATTAATAAAGTTGCCACGTGTTTTCAAATTCAAGTTAAGGCACTATCTGTGTAAAACATTACAAATATTCTTCATTTGCAGTATTTTATTTTAAAAGTGTTCAGAAAGACTGCATCAATGATATGCTATATATCTATATAATATCAATATTGTTATTAACTTCAACCAGTCAATTTAAATAGCGGGCAAAAATTGGTTAATTGCCATGGATGTGGTGTTTGATATAGTTTACGTTCAATTTCAACTATTTTAGGCAGAAAAACGTCTATAGACTAAACCTTTTTTAATAATTTACTATAATTTAGAAAGGTTTTTGTGAGAAATCATTTAAAAAGTAAACTTGTTTTCCTTTTGTATTTAAATTTGAAATGTTTGCAAACAACATTATTAATGTATACATTTGTATCAATTTTTTTAAATTAGTAATCCATTTATTTTATTGTATTTCCTTGAGGCTGGGGACGATATCCAGCATGTAGTTCAACATGCAAATGTTGTAATACAAGTAAGTATATAAGTATAACATGGACAAGTAAATAAAATAAGTTTAGTAGGAGGATGTGGATTTATTTTCTCTCACCTTGTAATTACACAATCAAACAATCTATAATTTAGCCCTGGCCTTGACTCACAAAAAAACATTTTGTTGAATTGGACACATTTTTCGAAGCTCTATTGACTGACATGCAATGACTGGGACTGATGGAAGAATCTGAGAGGAATGAACTAGGAGCAGAGAAATAATCATATTTAAAAGACAGTATTGTCATAAGAGGCCAACAAGAGTCACAAGGGTTGTCACTTTGCTGAGGGATATTTGTGACCAGCTATCCAGGCCAGTCTCTAAAGACTTTCCAAGGGGTAAAAATGCTGCTGCTGGAGTACTGACTGGAAGTATTGCTGAGATCATGTCTACCATATCCTCTTAAAATACTCCGTCCAACAATATCAGTCTCATGAAGAAAGGTGTTTTAACGCTTATTCAAAATAGCAAAGAAACATGCATTCTTGTACTCAGGAGGGGACATTGACAGAGGATTACGCCCCTCGTTCCAAGGCCTCTCAGACGCTCTTCCGTTTACTTGTTTAATAAAGAAAAACAAATGGACGGGAGATACACGGATTCTGTACGTACCTCTCTCTGTATAGTTGGCCGACACCAGTCCAGCAGTTTCTCTATATCCGACATCAGCAACTGAGCCTTTGACAACACTGCAATCAATGGCATTGACAAAAAAAACAAAGCAGTCCCCATTACTACTCTCCTTATTTTTGGTAAACACTTCTTCAGGCATTTGTTTTTTTTAAGTCATGCTACTTGTATTGTGTGTTGGTTTGAGCTGGAAAGGATATAATTAGAAAGATTTTTATTCTGAATGAAAACGTTGAATAAATCTAAACTAGTGTGTGACAAAGTCCTCAGAAAGTGAGTTAAAACAAAGTTCTATTAAGGAGAAATGTTCTTGTCTTACACTGACGAGTCTCAGGTGCATCTTCACGTGGTATTTTTCTGATCTTCGGTTTGTATGGCACACGACTGACTGCTTTGCACTATTAAGTAAAACATATGGCGCATTTAGAAATCAATCGGCAACACAATGAATATAGAAAAATATACATTGTATTACTATTGACAATAAACTCTCCAGAAAGGTTACTTTTGAAGCACATGCACTTTAGCATGGCTTGTTTTTTCTTTAAAACGTTTAGCGCTGTTTAAGTGACACCACTAACATCTTATAATAATCACAAGTTGGCAAAAAGAGATTTTTTACATTAACAAATAACCAGTTATATTGGTAAATGTAACAATGTTTTAGTTGGGATAATCTATTCAGATTCAATTCGTGAGAAGGCATTGAGTGGTAAAGATCGGTGTTCACTTTTTTGGGAACTGACACTTTTTGTAAACTTCCTTGTAGTTTCAGTGACATCCTTATCAGCGTATGATAAAAACCAAGTTATTTAAATATAAGCAAGGCAACGTAATTGAAACGTAAAAAAATGATATAAAATGTAATCTATCCATAATTTTTGCTTTTAGCATTTAGCTCATTAGCTAGCTACTAGCCACGTAGCTACATCGCTAATCGCTATAAATTAGTCAGTATGAGTGGGTAACCTCACCTTAAATGATCAATTAAACAAAGATTGACTAACGTTAAAGGCTAGCTTTTGTTCAGGGCAGTACATTATTTTATTTAACTGAACATTTATTTTTACTGGTAGGGCTACTTACTCGTCGATACTTTGTTGGCTCCATTACGCTATTTTTGGAAAATACCGTAATGTTGTTAATATACCTCATTGAAACCTCAATATCTACGCGTGACCGGAAGTTAGGACCCGTTGAAGTTTACTCTGGAACCACGTTACAACAATAAAATGTAATAGTTAATTGTTTGGCTCCCTCTTTGAAGAGGAAGATAATTACTGGAATGCCACGGCCTTTGTACACACACTGAGGGAAATACTTCACTTAAGGCTGAAAGCATTTTTCTTTCAGTCAAATCAGTTTTTTTACAATCCAACATGATAAATGGCGTAATTCAAGTATCTTCTTCCTCAACGTGCATAAAGTAGTATGTTACAAGCGATCACAAGAATATTCGCTAATATAACCCCAAATTATGCACTCACTTCTATTTTTGTCGTGCGTTTATTTTGAAAGGACTTTAGCAGTCAAGTGACTCCCGGAAGTTTTTGTTTCCTCACCTGTCAGTTCTGACACGGTGCGAGAGTCCAGCCTTGTCTCTTTTGTCCGAGAAACAGGTCTTCTTTTTTCCAGAATAAATGATAAGCTTGTGTGGTCCACTGACACCTAACTGAGGACATAATTTAACACGGTAAGCGGGAGTCGAGAGGGAACAATAATCGACTGCTTTTGATTCACCTAGCCACAAATAGCCAGAAGACGTTAGCTCAGAGCTAGCGTACTGTTATCATCAACAGATCGATCATTTTAATTCCGGACATTATCTACACAACTTTCATGTTTCTCTTGGTCATTGTGTGCTTTGTTCTATTCATCCTGAACGTCATTGCAAAACTGACCCCGATGTGTTTTATCGGTGGTCAACACAGCTCACGGAAGCTAACACCACAACGTTAGCATCGTATACAAACGATTCAATGAGTGTTTACATCCCAACAATGGCTTTCCCATGCCTCTGGAAACGAAATAAGGTCTCTGCATAGCTGAAATTACTTTGTTAGCTGTTAGCTCTCATCATTTATCAAGAAATGTCGAACGAAATGGTGTTGCTATTCGTGCCTCATTTTAGATTTACGTTGACTTTCGGTTTAACTTTCGATTTCATAGCATGTTCTGAAGTCGTCATTTAAAGTCAGCAGCTCTGCCTTTGTGGGTTTTTGTTCATATGTTTTTGTTCCGTGGCATTAATCTTAGAGCATGTCCAGGTATTGTCTTTGTCTTTTTTTATATAAAAAGCTACGAGCTTAAGTGTTAAACTTGGCTCATGATTGTTTGCTGCATCATCGCATGGTGACATCATCAACTAGCTGCCCGTGTGCTGACCAGCTCCTAAAAACAGATGATCAGATCAGGCAGGGTTTGGGATTTAAGTTATGTCTGTTTCAGGTAGCTGTCTGTCTGGACTGCTCACTTTCCTTCGTATGGTCAATAGGTGTTGATCACAGGCCTGTAACAACAGGTCACTGTGAGACCCTCCACTCCCTCATCAAAGAAAACAAATTCTTAAAGTAATTTGTTTTTTTATATGTACAGAATGTCGTTATTAAAGGACAAGCAGATATGGAGCTTTTCCATTTCACCTTAAGTACTGTAAACAGATTTGTCCCAATTATTACATTATTATAATATTTAGATATTTGCACACATTTTACTGTCATCTTCATTTGTATCTTAGACAAATGAAAACATTACAAAAAAAGTGGAAGTGGAATAAACTGTTGTCATAAGACACAAGACCAATGTTAGGTGGCGGTTTGGTCAACTTTGCACCTGACATATATTTGATTATAATGTGGGCCTGATGATGGCGCCATGGTGTTCATCCATAATGCACCCTGATGCTGTTTGAGGCCTGTGTTAATTACTCTAGGCACACCTAGAATAAACTCTAGGCCTGTTCTTAACTCTTGCATGAAGTAATAATGGAACAAAACACCTATTGATAAAACATTTGAGCCGCCAAAAATGCAATACATTAAAACAACTATGTACTTTATGTGTTTAAACCCATTAAATGTAGGCTGAAACCCCTGCCTATACATTTCTTTTAACATCCAGACTACACAACATATCTGAAATGCTTTAGCTTTAAGCATTGTGCTCTACTTCTTGTTTAGCTACCTTTACACTTCATTTAATTTCCAAGCTAAACGAGGTTTAAAAATCTTGCTACAACAAACTAAATCAAATCTGATAGCATTTGTTTTTTTCTGCTCAGGAAGCTATTTTCTTTTAAAAAACAGGAAGTGATGCATTGTACATTTCCTGCAGCAAGAAATCAACTGAAAAAAGTCTGAGCAATGGGACATTGTTTGATTGTAGAGTGATCTGTGGGATATGTAGTACAAAAAAGCCAGCTATACTCAAACATGTCACAATAATGTGCAGAGACTAGTTACAACGCTACTTAGTACTAAGCTAATGTATAGTAAACACAACACAAGGCCAATCATGCTGTTGGCTTTCACAGACATCTAGCACTTTCTAAATAAAACTCTTATTGTATCCCCTAGGTCTTCTTTCTGCTACAGAGTAGGCCTGTGCAGGCATGGATCCCCTGGCAGTGGATGATGACATTTGCATCCTTAAACACGAGACGGCCTACACCGCTGCTGGCGAGAGTCCTGTATCTGTGTGTCCCGGTGATGAATCTGTCGCCTCCCACTTCGCCCTGGTCACGGCCTACGAGGACATCAAGAAGAGGCTGAGGGACACGGAGCGAGAGAATACACTGCTGAGGAAGAGGGTGAAGCAGCTGGAGGATAAGGTATAGATGTAGACCAAATAAGTGATGGTGGGAGGGAGGCAATGAGAACAAATATTGAAATATATATTAGGTTTAGAAAGGGTTTTCTATCGAATAAGATGAATGAAATATTCCCTTTTCTTTTAATGATAGACTAACTCCAAAATGCTCGGAGAAAGTTTAGAAAAAGTCAGTAGATTCAACTGCAAAAGAACTCGCCTCTGGGAGAGTCTGCATGCCAGCATCATTAATATTGTTGGCCTCCAGTCAAAGCTATAAAACAATGAGAAATAAATCAGTTCCGTCTAAAAACAGGGAGGGGGTCTGGATGAGTGCGGTATTGCCAAACAGTTGGATTTAGATAAACAAAGGATCGAGTACAATACAAAGAGAGCTATTTCAACAGGATGGGTCTTAATACAGATGGTAGGCTGAAGTGAAAATGCCGCACAACATGTCGGCAGAGATCCTCTCTGGAAGTGTCTCATTTCTTTTTATCGGTTTAAGTTTTATCTGCTGCAGCATTTTGGTCCATCAAGATAGGATGTGGTGGGAGGAAAGTAACCTCCTACCGCAGATATGTGCATTTAATGAAATTGATCTGTTCTCTGTGTATCTTATCTATCTCTGCTGTAGCTCTTCAGGCCGGAGGCTCCTCCATCCGAGGGTCCTCAGTACGTGAATAAGGCCTTCAGTGCTTACCGGGGTATCTATATAGAGAAGGAGGACCTGCAGCTGGAGCTAAACAAACTGGTGCGTTTACTGATTCATTTTTCCTCAAACTGACTAGAGCCTGGCACAAAGTATGTTACATAACTGCGAGCACTGCACATTTTAAAGTACGGATTAAAAGTATTTTTGCTGTATCTTTGATTTAAGTAAGAACAGCAAGTTTATGATATGACACGAATATGCTGTTTCCCGGGGCCATGAGAGAATGAGAGCTTGGTGCATGGGTATGAATGCTGACTCTCTCATCATGTTCCTCCCTCTATAACTCACTGTCTCCTCTGTTTCTCTGTCAGAAAAAGGAGAAGAGTGAGAGTGAGAGGCTGTTGACGGAGCAGCTGCAGGCCAGAGAGTTGGAGCTCCTGCAGCTGAGGACGGAGATGGAGACCAGCCAAGGTACAGGTAGAGCTCACAGGGTGGATTTCTACTCATACAACAGCGCTACTTTAGACTGTTTGAACAATAGGACTGTGTTTTATGCTCTGATTAAGCATTTGCAGCATTGGCTTCCTGTGTGTTTGGAAACTACTTTTAGATGTATGTAAGATGTGTTTTTAGTTGTATTATTTACAAAAAAAAGGAAAATATTAAGTGAGTTGATATCTACATGTAAACTATGAGTTGTAATATTTTGACACTGAGATGTGTAGGGCAAAGCTATACTAGGCTACTATGTAAAATCTGAAGAACTACTACTACTACTCGTATTTTACCTGAGTGTTTGCGTTTTACATTGCTTAGTAATTCCGATACGCTACATTTAATATACGTTTTTTACTTTATTCATTTGACAGCTATACTGTAGTTACTATGGGGACTTTTAAATCAATTGACATACACAATATTGACACACTTAGCACATTTTGATTGCAGGGCTTTTACTTGTTTAACACAGTTGTAGTTCTACTTTTAAACAACAGTACACTTCTTTCAAAACTGGGTTAAACCTTTATTAGCTTTAAACATTAAAGTGGATTGCTCTGTATTTTACCGCCTTGCCTTTCACAGTTCAATAGCTCTCTTTCCTTGTTTGTGTGCAGTGATGAAGAGCCTGAACAGCCCTCAGGACTACTGGCAGGTGGACAGGGTCAGCACTGAGATGAAGATCCACAAACTGCAGGAGGAGCTGGAGAAGGTGACGCTGGAAAACAGCAGACTGCTGGAGACAAGTGGGGTACGTGATGGGGGAAATGGTTTTTAAAAAGGTGCAACATACCCTCCTGCAATTCCTGATTTATCTCTCATTTTGTTTACAATCGGCATACAGTACCAGCTACCTCTATGATTCTATATGGTCTCTTTTGTTTAAAGCAAATATACTGCTACTTTTTTACCATGGTGTACTTATCTGCCATTTTGTTTTAGTTGTTTTACTTATTGTGTCATCTATAATTAATAACGTGTGCATACTTAGTCATTTTTATATTGTATTATATGTAAGTCTAGTATCCTCACTTTATCTGCAGTATCTGCTGTAATAATGTAAATGTCCCCGTTGCGGGAATATAAATAAAGGAACTCTTATTCTGATAAAAAGGGATGATGAACAAAATGGGGGATGGAGAAAAGATAGCGGATGATAAGAAGGACAGAGTAGCCATTAGAAACAAAGTAGTGGAGAGAAGCTGGACCAAAAACAATGGGCTAAACCTCATGGTAGGGGTCTGTGGTTATTTCGTTATAACAACCTGTTAAATACTAGATACAACTTCAGACACCCCCTTCACTCTCTATCTAACATGACTTGTTTCTGTTTTAGGAGGAACCCCATGGCCTTAACGGACCAGTCTTGGACCAGACATGTGATGCAAATTATAGTGCAAGGTGAGTGTTCATGGATCTCATTTCATAGTGGCTCAGCTGTCATTTCAGTGACCAAAACTGAGGATATAAACACTGTTGCATTGGTAATTCAAATGTTTATCACCCTTCCAATTGTTAGAGTTGCAAAATTCCTCGAATATTAATGGTGGAAACATTTCATGGTAATTCAAATGAATTAACAGGAAAACCACGTATAAAGGAGAAATGTAAGGGTTATTTGCTCAGGTTGCATTTACCATGCCATCAACAGAACACAGCTTTTACCATCATAAGCAGACATAATTGTTAACCCTACTAATAGAAATGAAAAAACAAGTTTTACAAATTCTTGAGCCATACTTTACTCCGGAATATTCTGGAACTTTACCATCACTTTGCAACCTTACTTATAGTCATAATTAGACCATTTTAAATTTAAACAACACGAGAAACACAGCTATACACTGCATGTAGTCGCTCCTCTTGTAATTGTCCCCTTTGGCCACTAGAGGAGGGTGCAGCTTTACTCTCTAACTCTGCACAGCAGCCTGTGATATGCAGATACCTCAGAAGCACCTGAACCTGATACATGATAAGCAGCAGCTAAACCCTCAGGACTCCATACAAATAATTAAAATGTGCACTACAGTGTTTGATGTATACAGGGTCTATAGCAGAGGCAATCACCCTGCGCCTATTATTCATTGAGGATAATCTCCGTGGCAGCTCCTCACATTTCATGAAGAAAATTATATTTTGTGTCCATTTTAATTGTTTCACGTGTCAGCAGTTTTAATATGGTGTTGGTTTTTAGCAGCACAACACGCTTTAGTGTCTCCTCACAGTTTTACCTGTTGAGTGTTGATGAGATTTAGCATCTTTACATAAGGTGTAGATAGGACAGTTTGTAGGTGTTGCCTCAAACACCGTCACAATGCTATGGTTTGTAATGAATCTGAGGTGGTAAAGCATTTAATCCATCAAAACAGTGTGGCCTTAAAATATATCCTAAAAACGCTTTATGCTGTTAAGTGAATATGCTCAAACCCAATGAAACTCCTTTGAACAAATCATAATTACAGTCATCACAAAGAAACAAGCCTCTTTAGGAGTACCTCTGATTTGCCGATTATATTTACTTCCCGTTTATATACAAAAAATGTTGACTAAATTCAATTATTATACACCAGACCAGTTTTACATCTTGAAACATAAAACATTTGAAATGAAATATAATCACACAACATGTATTCCTTCTTCAGTAAAGACAGTACCGGGTATTTGACCATGCGAGCTTCTTGCCCTCATATGTAAATGTCGTCCACAGGGAGAGGAGGATGCAGCAGACGTACCAGGCTCTGTGCTGCGAGGTCACCCGTCTCCACTCAGAGCTGAAGCACCAAACCGGCCTGATCAGGAAACTCAGGCCACTCCTCGCTGAGACAAAACAAGGTGAGGCACACACACAGGGTCCTGCCTTTGTTGCTGTATATTTAAATATGAATCATCCCTTTCTGTGTCAGTGTATGTGATAACCCACCAGCACCTGCATTCTCACCTCCTCCACTCCAGTATATACAGCAGGGGGAGCAACATGTATTTCTTATATTCCCTCATAGCAATATCTTACAGGTTACCTCTCAGGACACCAAGGCAGCCTTAACATATTTAGATATTCACTTACTTTGTCTTTCATACGAGTGAAATAATTCTGCTTTTAACTTAAGTGTCCAGGTTAATATTGACTTTTCTGCTAGACACTTTAGTTTATAAAAAAAGGTTAAGTATACTGTATAAATATGCATTGCTGGTTTAAATATTTAAATCTTTGTAAATGTTGCACATACAAGTGACATATTTATATTGTTGTACCTGTACATTTTCCTCTCTGTATTTATTGTACGTCTGTACCTAATTGTATCTTATGAATGAAGAAAGCTGGCTATCCCCATTAAAACAAAATAAAACATTATTTTGCATATTACAGTACACTTTTAAAAAGGCTTTCATTTTGATTTGAAGTGACATAAAAATAGTATTAGACTAGTCTGGAAACTGAAGTATAAGCATCACTAAAGTGACAGAACTAAAAAACGAATATACTGACTGAGGCTTCACAAGTTTAATGTTGTGAAAATGTGTCTTCAAACTGAGTGCCAGTTAGTGTCAGATTGACGTGCTCTTTAAGCATAGTGGCCGGAATTGAAATAGTGCTTCCGACACAGAAACTAATGTGGCTAACATCAAAGGAAAGAAGGGGCTGCTGCTGCTCTTCTGTTAAAGGAAGGCTTTTCTGAGAAGAAGTACTCCTTACTGTAAAAATCTCCTGCTGCTCCTTGTTGCAATCTGTACAAGGGTGTGATAAGACTGTGGATATTATCGCAGTGCTCACTTTGATAAAGGACACCATGAAATAGTCTGTCCCTCTGCCATGATGTGTTCTACCCCAGGAGAGATTACCTCTGTTGTCGATTCCTTCCGAGTGTCAGAAGTGGAGACGAGGAGGTGAAAATTAGAACGAAACATGGCAAGAAAATAAATCTTGGCCTATTTATTCCGCTGAATAACGGGGTAATCCTGTAACTTAGAGGAGAACAGATGATTAAATGAGGAGTGGAAGAAAAGGAGAGATGAAAGGGGGTGCACTGTGTATTTATTCAGTATCTGTATTCTTCTATTGTTCCTCCTTTGGAATCACTTTTATTCAAATTGTAGACTCAGGAGACCCTCTCATGGAGGAGTAGCAGGGAGGTAGGGATGAAAACGGGACGAGATACTCATTTCAACTTGATTATTGGCTCAAAATGATGATTTGATGGCAGTGATGTGTGTGTGAGATAATGGCTGCTGATTTGTGTTTCACTATGATTTGTATGTAGTATATTTGTAGTTTATGCAGTCTGATTTGTTCTGGTGAAAAAACCTAATAATTACAGTGGATATTTCCTGATACTCAGGCAGTGAGAAAAGGAGAAAAATAAAATAGCTATATTAAATCTAAATGCACCAATTTACGTGTAGAAAAATGAATCTCATCTGAAGTCTTACCAAAATCATAATTTCCCTTTAACATGTTTTTCTGGGTCTACTCATAGTAGATTGTAGAAATGAACTGCTGATGTATTTATATTCAATTCAATATTAAATGCCAATCACCAACACTCGTAAAAAATACAATGCTTTGGATTATCCTTCAGTATATCACACCCATAATCCTTTGTGCTCTATCAATGTGTCTACAGTTGCAGATGAAGTGCACTCAAATTGAACTGTATGCCAAACATTAAGGTAGTGATAAGCTTTTTTTTCATTTTGCATTTTATCTTCTCAACCATACACTGACTTTGTCTTAACAAAATATTTTTGCAAGACTCTGATTGAGCATCCAGCAGTAATATTAACATTACAACCAATAGGAAAGATGATCAAAAAGAAAAAGTATTTTTTTTTAAAAGTGTTAAAATAAGTATTTCTTGGAAAATACAATGCAAATATTGGCAAGCTTTCATAGGCATTTAGGCAACAATTTAAATAACAACACATTATTTTGCCCCCCCCCCCCCCTCTTCTCTAGCTGCCTCAACAGTTCCAGTGCAGTGTCTGGACGACGTTGAAAAGAACACCCACCACCCAGTCTCCCGGGCAGCGCCTCGCCCCCCCGGTGCCCCCCCTCTCCCCTCATGCTCCGGCCGCCCCTGCCCCCCCGCCGGCGTCCTGTCGGGCCCCCCGCTGCCGGACAGCCTGAGGGAGGACTGCTGGTACAACGGGCCCTGGCCCACGCAGAGCTGTTCGGGGGAGGCTCTGCTGGGCAGCGACCCCTTCTCCGTGGTGCTGCCCCCGCCCCCCCTGAACCAAGCCTCCCTGGACGACAGCTCGCGGTCCTTCCCCAGCCCCCCCAAACCCAGTGACGCCATGTTCTGGGAGGGACACTCCGCTGCCTCCAACTCCTCATCCTCAATTGGAAACTGCTGTCCCAGGAGCCCCCCCCAATACTGAGTGAGGAGAGGGGATGGGGTCATTAAATAGTGATGGAAAGTAAACGAATGAATGAACTCTCCAACCCTGCCACATAGCTACCACCTAACCTGCCTTAAGTTGATAAGACCACTCCTCTGGGCTGGACCTGCTGCTAGTGGGAGCCGACTGAGGCCGGAGGGGGGGGACACTCTGTCTCTGCACACCGCATCGGTGGACAGATCCGACTTTGCAGATGAACATTTGACGGAGAGACCCTCAGCAGAATAAAAAGTGTGTCTGTGTGTGCAAGCATGCATACAAGCAGTTTGATTTCTGTGTGAATATGAACACACATCAACAGCGTGTGCCTGTGAGTGCAGAGCAGGGTGTGGGCGTCTTTGGCCTGCCTGTGTCTGTATATCGTCATAATAAACCTAATAGGGCTCAAACGGGCCACTCTCTCCATTCACTGCGGCCCCCGATCACTGGGGCCACAGCATCATACTAGAATTTTTAAACTCCCTCCAATGCAAGTATTTTTACATTCGATTGCTGTAAAGTAAACAGTATGTGTTTACATGTTTCTCTCATGATGGTGTGAAGGAAATGTAAAGGTATTAGGACTTTGAAATGTGTACTGTGATGGAAGCAAACATACAGTGATAAGGATAATCAGAATTCTGTGACCAAATGCCATCTATTCTTTTCTTCAAGTTGTTGTTTTCATTCAATATCAAAGTAGGCTTTCAATTTAGCTATGCTTACCAAATCATTGAGGATGTTGCGTAACGAGTAGCAAATAATAACTTTAATCTAAAAATGTATTGCTTTCTGAAACGAAACACTGCACCCTCACTGGCACTGGAAAACTGTTTATGATTCTCACAGAACTGTCACAACTCAAGCCTCCTCAAACATATTCAGAGCTACTGTCAGACAATACATGTGTTTTCTTTTCTCAGTTGTAAAGGGACATGTAAGATGTAAAGTTGTGCATTGTTGATCATTTTTCAAATGTAAAGGACTCATGAAAGAGGCTACATACACTCTGATGTATTTGGAAAGCTGAATAGGTTTGTGAGTTTAAAAAATGTATCTAAACTCTGTACTGTGCCGATGTTGATCAATGATACATTTGTAAGTTATAGTGTGAGGTGGGAAGTTCCTCTTTGATTTCTCTTTTTAAGTCAGATGAGTATAATCACCTGAAGGATGTACAAAGGAAAACGCATTATGGGTTGAACAAAACAACGCTGAGAGAAGAATGTGCATATTTGTATAAATGTATATGGTGGGCTTAAGTACTCTGCCAGACGCGATTTTGCACTCCAAAACATACTTTTGTTTTTTTTCTCCCCCAGCCCCAAAGCTTCTGATGTGTATAAGAGTTGTCTCCACTGGTGAAGACAATATGTCTATAAACCTGAAGAAAAGTAAGCTGTGACTAATAGGTGCACAAAGCACAAAGGCCCATGGTGTTTTATTTCCGTTTTCTTCAGTCTGTTCCATGATAACTGTGGTCTTTTTGTTCATTTTTAAGAAATGTTATTTTACAGCAGTAGTTTGGTACTTCTGTAAACGATTTGCAAACCAAAATGCAATGTACAGTAGATATGGATTATATTTTAGATTGACTGCACTTCAGACTGTTTGTAAATATACTCAATTAAACAAAGGAAAGGAAGTGTGCTGTGTCTATCCATATTGTCAGCAATAAGGTTCTGGTTTAAAAACAGGAGGCTTTCGGATGCTAATTAATAGTCAAAACCAGATATAACCTTTCTTTAAAAATATAGTTATTTTAATGTTGCTGAAACCAAACTATTTCTGGATTCACTACAGAAGGAAAATAGAATTAATCAGCTAATTTCATCAACTATTTGTTTTAGTCAGGTATCCATAAAAATGTCCAACTTGGCCATCTTCTGGCTTTTCAATGTGAGGATATGCGGCTTCTGTCTGAGTCATAATATTAGAATGAATACCTTGGGGAGTTTAAATATAGCAGACAGGCAATTTAAAATCACAATTCATGTTTGCATTTGCCATTGATTATTAAACACAATCTTTTTTAAGAAAAGGCTGAAAGATATCTACCAATAATTCCACGCCTTACATTAATTAAGGGTACCACACTGCAAACTGGTTGTCACCAAAAGTAGAGAGAAAAACATTCTTAATATGACAACAAGGATACCCCATTACAGTAACTCCTTGACACTTTTAATCTAATTGTGCCATTGTTTGTTCTTTGGAATTACAGATAAACAAAAATGAAAATAAGATGGCTTAAACGGTCCAACTCATACATAGTACCTATAGTAGTACAAATCAAATAAGACACCAAAAGATCAAGTGATTATAATTAACAAAAGTATAATTTACTTTTGAAATGAAAAGCAAATAAACACAACAGCTTAGATAACGTCATCTGTTTCAGAGGTTCATTTAGCTCTATACTAGTGAGGCCTAACTGTAAGGGTGATGCTTCAAAATATTTATTAAAAAAAAAAGGAAAAACAAAGAAAGACAGCTTTTTCCCAGAGAAATGTTATTAGAGATAAGAACCAATTTAATCAGCAAATGCTTGGACATTTAATTTTCCCAACAGTGTCAAGAACGTCCAAACGTCTATGTTGTACAGACAATAACTCAAATAAACAAAGGATGCTAGATGTGTGTGTCATTTACCATCGATACACACTTTAGTGCAGCTGAATATCTTTATTTACAATGTCATTTATCATTGCCCATTTCAAAATGATCATACATGTTACAATGCTCTGTTTCTTACATACGCTGTACAAGACTCTTTAATTGGAAACCAACCCTTTTTGATGACAAAGGATGTTTTACACTTCAGATTTGTACCAAGCTGTAAGGCAGAGCAAAGGCAACACAACAGTAGATACAGGAGGAGACTGTATGATCAGATCTGTATATTCAATTCAATAATGTTAAAGCTGCTGATTTAATCAAGTGAGGGAGATCATTCCGGCAATCTGACAGAAAACATCTTGCAAATATACAGAAAAAAAATAAGCCATTAATTAGATATATTCCTTGCACACCAAACTGATTTCAGTCACTCCACATATTTGAATAAAGGCACAGGCTATGCTTTAAAGATGAGCATGTAACCTGGCCGTGGGGGACATGGAGCTGGTTCTGACCAGAGTCACAATCTGCACCTTCAAAAGGGGGGAGGCTATCATGTTATTAGCTACATGCTAGTTGGGAGTTTTTGTTTCCTGTTCTTCGTTGCGACCCCTGTCGTCAAAAACTCAATTTTCTCTTTGATGTACTCCTGCTTACACTGCTCGAAGAACGCAGGGTCCTTGTAGCTGGTGGGAGACAGAAGGAACAGTTTTATTTCACAGAATTAATGTTTTGTTCTGTGACTCACTCGATGGTGATGGTGGCCCACAGAGTGTTAACCTATGTTAAAGATGTTGGTGGGATAACACTTGAGGGTGTTGCAGAGGAGATCGCACTCACTGTATCGTCAGACATTCCTTCAGTGCTGCGTTCTGCTCTCGACACTTTATCACCATGAGGAACCCCGAGTCTTTGCAGCAGTGGTTGAAGGCTGGAGGAAGGTGGCAGAGAGAGGGGGAATTACCAGAGAAACAGCAAGTACAATAGCCACAAACATAACTATTATTGTTTCAATTATTTTAAGCCTTCCACCTTTTCTGTCTGATCCCAGAGTAGAAGCTCAGAAAAAAAGGACGAGGACAAGCCAACACATATGGGCCTTCAGTGGGCCCTCCACCACAAGAAGGAACCCAGTCCCTCTGCAGCCTCTTATCTAACTGAACAATGTTTCCTTGTTCGAACAAGGCCTGAACTGAGTGGTCGTTTTGGTGGTCGCCCTGTTTCCACATTGACCTTGTAACGGTCAGTCCACCACATGTCTGTAAACCCAGTAATTAAATATAGGCCACGTTTCAATACTTCCTGACTGACAGTGGTAGCAAAGTGGTGAATATGTTCAGCACATAGATCTCTTATAGACATGGCACGTGTGTGACGTGTTGTCACCCTGCTATGAATACCATGTGGGGGGCTTCTATTTGAAGTTCTTGCTGTTACCCTGCATTTCTCCACAGGTTTCTCTATCCACAGGTCTGTGTTTCAGTTCTGCATTTTGTTTGCAGATCCAAATGAGGTAAGCACAATCTGTGTTGATGGTGTTGGTGACAGAATGGCAAACATGTTTATGTTCAGAGTCTCCTACGATTTTCTACAAGACTTTGGCTGATTATCAGTCCTACCTTTCCTCATTGAGGGTCAATGTATTTGTGCTGGCTCTTAGTCCAGCTACACTGAGTGCTTCATTTTTTTCCCTCCCTATAGCTAGGTGCTGAACATTTCTGGAGGTTCTAATCTCCTCTGACCAATCGTAGTCAATATCAAATATACAGATTGCCAAGTAATGCAATAAGGTATAAAATCGGAAAACAAATGCAGTAAGCACTGCTAACATGTCCTCTCTCTCTGAGATACAAAGCCCTTCCATAACACTGCATCAGCAACACAATGCCCTGGCTAGCGGTGTTTTCCAGATTAAACGTGCAGGGTCCTCATTGTAAACAAGGTGTTGAACAGCGAGTCTTCACCTTGTTAGCAAGCTCTTTCTCAAGACTTTAATTAAAACCACCGCCGTCCCATGCCATGTCCCCTTCACACAACTGACATTATAAATACCTTTATCAGTGGCATCAGTATGGTTATCACACAGACACTTTCATCAGGATGCAAATGTGAGAAAAAAAAACTGAAAAGCAATTTAGAGAAGCAGAGCAGTGCGACTAATCTAATCAGCGAGCGCCTCATCCCTGTCCCATGGTGCTAATAGCGGCTGCAGAGGGCTGCCTCTCTGAGCGCAGATATACGAGAGCAGCTTTATGTCTGAAAGGCCCTTCTAAAGAAAGGCGTGATGGCACCTTTGCTTTAGACACTGATGTTTGCCATTTTTAAAGATGCAGAAGTATAGTTTGGCAGTTAGCAAAAAAGCAGAAGCTATGGGATTAAACATGTGGGCAGGATTGGGACCTTTAGAGAAAGATAAAAAGGTGTGAACCTCTAATATATAAATAGTTAAAAAACTAAATATAAGTGATGATGATTTGAGGGATTTATGCAATTCGAAATAATTAAAAATAATAATAATAAAAACCAGTAACTTAAAGTAAGGCATTGTGAACATTTGTATATCAATCCTCCATATATACAACAAATTACGACCAATTAGATTTCTGCAAATATAAGCAAAAATATAAACGAAACCAGGTCAAAGTGGAAGAGGTTACTCAATTAGAATGTGGATTGTTTAAATGGTTGATTGTCAAACACTTATATACAATATATTATTACAAGACATCACCCATGCAAGGGGAAGGTCACACCTGGTGAAATAAAGCTTCAGAGATGTTGCGTACAGGTCAGGAGTACATTGTAGATTCAACAACAAAGCCTACAACATACAACTAAGGGGGGCTTTGAAGCATTTATGCCGAGGCAGATCACACAGGAAAACATACTACCATATTCTCTTTGTTTTTTTGGTCAATCATAAAAACACATGCGTGAGGCACAGTGCAGACACTGCATGGAGGTGTGAAAATGAGTGGGATGGAAGCAAGTAATGTGAAGGGGGGGGGGGGGGGTTTCCACTACCCACACAGCCACTGTCTGTCCCATCACCTTCGGATGCATGTGCACCGTCTCCCCGCTTGAGCACTACACACCACTACATTTCACCAAACCACATAACATAGTCATTGTGTGACAGATGTGTTGCTGCAGTAAACAGGGTAAGGTGAGCAAAGCTGCAGCATTTCCAAGCAGATGAAGTGGCAACGGGTGTGATGCTAAAAGGCCTACTGCTCAATTCAGAGACATTTAACTATGGACTGTGGGTGTTCATGTTGATGGGAAACCGTTAAACCAAAAAGAGTGAAAAGATGAAAACAAGGTTAGATCAAAGTCCACAGAAGGAAGATATTAGAAAAGACTCAAAACCGCCACATGAAGGTTTAGAGCAGGGGTTGGCAACCTCTGGCACGCGGGACCGTAACCAGTGGCACACTAGGAATAAGTGTGCAAAAATATTTAAATTGTATTTTCGGATCCTGAACGAGACCGGCGGCAGAGCGCGTCTCCCCCTGCAGAAGGAAGCCAAACGCAGCGCAGAAGGATAACTTCTAGGCCCCGCTCTCTTTAACTCCAGTCGACTTTCTGCTGCTTTCCTCCATGGTGAAACGATCAGGGGTGTAGCGCACTTCACACATTGCAGTATAAGGAGCTGTACATGCCGCAGTTTTTGCGTGGCTGTGTCTTTAGTTGAAAGCCCAGTGGCGATCTGCTCATCTGTCATCGAAAATAATATGCTACACAGGGGCGGACTGGCCAACTGTGTGTTCTGGAGAATTACAGTACGTCCGGTCGTCAGCAAACCGGTTGACGACCGGGCTCGGTTTGCTGGCGGCCGGCACCGCCCTTTATTTATTTAAATGTGTTTAAACGGCATCATGTAAGTTGCGCTGACAGGCGACAGAGGTCCACAGCTTCCCCGCAGCGAGGCTCCCCCCGCCCTCCAATTGACAGTTCACGAACGTCGAGCTCCCCCCCCCCCCGTTTACAGTTCACGAACGTCGGCACACTAATCAGATTTTATTTTTTTAAATGGCACTTCATATCAAAAAGGTTGCCGACCCCTGGTTTAGAGAGTTAGTTTGTGTGTATCAACACATTTTTCGTTTTAAATTGTTCTAAAATCTACAATTTCTTCCTCTGAAGAAAAAATGCTAACGATGGACCAAACAATACTGGTGGGTTGTAGTACTTCATTGCGATGCTGTACCTAAATGAGAACTGAACATTTTTGACTAAATGATCTTGTAATATTTAGCTGCTTGAAACCAACTGCTCACACATGTCAAGTATTAAAAGGGCTTTAAGTATGACAAAGTCCTAACCTTAATACACAAGTATTATGGTATTATGTTTTTTTTGCGTTTTCCTAAAATGTCATATTCTGGAAGATATTAAGACTTTCTGTTTGAAGCGGTGTACTTTTCATAATGCAAATTTCAAATGCACCCTTTAAATTAAAAGGATTCATAAAAGGACCTAATGAGCTTGGATATACAAATACAGACTTTTTTCAAAGAATAAACATGTATTTATTTAGGGGGTGAAATCAGTTACGAAGGGAAAAAAGAGGAATACTGTCTAGTGACCTCTGCTACTGTAGACAATGTGTCAGTATACCAGTATTTTGTGATGTGTTGAGTTTCTATTGCATTTATAATACAGTATACACTCAGCTCCCAGTTTATTAGGTACAATACAAAAATGTATCATACCTTTATGACGATTATAATGTGTAGGTTCTTTTCAACTTAAATTGTTTATTGAAGACAGGTGTTTTAATCAACATGTGGGTCGTATTGTTGGCAGAAGTGTGTTGAATGTTACTGTCTTACATTGACAAGTGTTTCTAGTTTGTTGTCTCCCCTTTTTAATACAATTTGCCTTTTTTCTCGGCACACATTTAAATTTGTCATAGTAGGAAATAGTTATAATAATGTTGTTCGATTCAAATGTCTCAGGGTCTTTTGAAGATCAAATTTATTTTTCGAATAAAACTGTGATGCCAGGGGATTAGACCATTCTTTTTCAGTGAGGTAAAAATGAAGAGCTTTTTTTTCAGAAGAGCATTTGTAGCAGGAAAAAGCACAGGTGATTTTTCAAAGGAGGGTTAGTGAGCCAGTATGCATAATGTCAATGACCTTGAACTGCTTCACCACAACTTGTTCATATATTTGAGTAGACCTGATCTATTGCTGCTTAGACATAGTCAACATTTCTAGTTTAATACAATAAACTAGACATAGTCAAAATGTCTAGTTTAATACATTAAACTTCATGCTTATTCACGTTAAAAGTATTGACTTGGACTGGACACATTTATGTGCAAATACATTATAAAATTGACATGAATTAACCTAGGCTTTGTATTGCTAAAATAGTTAAGAGTAATGTCACTATTAATAAAAATAGCACTAACATCCTATATAAGTAGATAGAAACCAAACAAATAAACACAAACCAATGTTAAACCAATGGGTTTTTTTTTTAAATGGTGTCTTGTCAGGTGTAATTGTTACTTGCAAACTTGAAGCAAGATAAACAAGTGTGTACTTGTCATTTTTAATTGAGTTGGACTTTTGTAAAGGAAAATATGCTTTATCAATCGCACAGATAGACACACACCTTCAACTTTTTCGACACAGATCTCCTTGGCTTTCTCCCTCATCATTTTGGGGATAAGGACATCTGTCTCCACATGTCTCAGATGGATCTCATCTGAGAAGGCAGGGCAAACAGAGACACAGGTAGACCATCACATTCACAACCATGGTGGGCATTATCATTATGACGACGTTTAATGATTATAGAATACACGTTATACTATTATTGCATAGGTACTGGACATATAACCTAATGGATACGCAAAGAATAATGTATGAATTACAAGTGCGTAGAGATAACCAGTTGAATATGTTGCTAGCTAACGTTAGCTACACGAGCCCACATAACATTGAGAAGTCTTTCCTGAATGCACGAGGCTGAATAAAGCTGTGTAAAGATCGACACAGCGTGTATACTTAGCTAACGCTATGCTATACAGGACACGCCATGCATTCAGAAGAACAGAAATGGTGTATACCTGCTTTAATTTCCTCCATTGTAGTGCTGATTCTCATAACATTACAAAACTAACCCAATGTGACCTCTCGTCCGCTCAAAACACTTCCGCTGACGCAGCGTAAGAAACTACATATCCCAGACTCACACACACAGACTTTAGAGAGTGGGCGATTCAGCTCTTTGGTCCTTCCTGTTGAGAAATTACGTTTTTATTATTTTGTCCTTACTTTCCATCCATTATAGTGCTGAAATATAATAATAATAATGATGATGAGGATGATAATAATCAAGGTTATAATTCTGTTTGAGGTACAATGTGGGATGATAACAATAAAGCTTTTTTGTTATTAAGCTTTAATCTTTTCTTGATGTGAAATTGTTGAGTTTTAAAATGTTTTATGAGCCTAAGTAGGAGAGGACCAGTGTTTCCTTCCAATAACCATTATAACATGACTTTTGATAACATTTAAATTGAATATTATGAAATGATTGTATAAATCCTTTGCTAATGTCATATAATGATTTGCTCTAAAGGAGGAAGCACTCTAACTCATGACCAATTCAAGACGATTCCCAATATTTGCTGGAATTACTATGCTTTAATTATGCCAGATGTAATGACTGATGCTATAATAAAGCTAAAACTTTACTCTGTCTTTTTCATTCAAATGCATGATTTTTTCTTTCAAATGCATGATTATTATTTTGTAAAGCTCTTATTTGAAGCACCTGGCATTAGTGGAAAAGGCCACAATGATGGTGAAAGTATACTCCGCTGTGACAACAGCAACATCCAGCCATGTCTGTGAGCCTCTACCACAGACTGCATGTTGTGCCTCTAAGCCTGACCACAGTCAGTTGTGTGGAGGACTGGCTGTCTAGATCCCATGCAAGGAGGACCCACCTGTTCAGTCAAAGCGACAGGTACACCTCGCAGACACACACACCTTGAAGCACCCCGTATCACACCTCCTGTTAGACTATACAGTATGAAACAGGCGTAAGCTACCTGCATATCCAAACCACACACACCACCAAGTGCGCCTTCACAAATCACACTCACCCACACACACCACCAGCGGAGGGGATATAGAGTAGTTTTTGCATATCTGCCTGAAGTTCTCACGGCTCTCTGACCCTACAGCGATATAGCTGTCACTTTACCTCTGTGTAGGAGTACATTCCTTTTATCTACAAATCAAAGGCCAACAAGAAAAAACAATGGTTTCCACAAGAAAAAAGACTCCTTCAACAGTTACCACAGGCCTTCACCTGTGTGCACTTCATATGTTTTTTTTGTTCCCCCCCAGAATATAGACACATACAACAGATGGACACACACATCTCCAAGCCCAACCAAACACCTCCCAGACAGCACACGCTTGTGTTCCATCCCTCCTGACACCAGGTGGGCATCTGCAGATTTGAATATCTGCAAATCTTTCCAAAATCTTGCACTAGCCAAGTTAAAACAGCAGACCAGAGCCAAGTGGAGCACAGATGATTGCACAACCACTACAACCACATCTAAGGGAAATGTCTATACTATACAAAATATATTTTATTTAGCAAATAATATGTCTAAGAAATCCAATGTAGGTATTTGCTACTAAACTCATAGTTGAAACCACAATATTCAAAATGTGATCAAATATAAAATTAAGACCCCTGATATTAATGCTGTATACGTTAAAATGGAAATAGCATTTTAGGGGTCACAAAGAAAATCAGATTACTTAATGACAGGTTTTTTTTTTCATTTTTCTCAAATGCATATGGAAATATAGTAAACAGAAATAATGAATAAGGAAGACTTATTTTGTATTAGGTGACCAAACCAAGTGATTTTAATGGATTATAATGTTTTGCCACTTTTGAATAAAAGGGTTCATCATCTTTTATAGAAAAACAATAAAACAAATATTGCATGTTTTTCTATTGGGGGCACAATGTAGTGTGTATCATTTACATTTATGTTAATATTTTATGTTACAGCCTGAATGCTTTCTAACTGGTTCCTTATCATTTTCTCTGACAGTTTTGGATGTCCTATACATATTGGTGAAGAGACCAAATAGTTATTGCAAGGGAACCTTTTTTAATGCAAAAGCCAAATTGATATTATGTGATATTAATTAATGTACCATAGTAACTGACTTGACTTACAATGCCAGACAATCAGTCTCTGAAGCAATTACATTTTGTTCATAACCAGAGTAAATCCTGCAAGTTCAGCCTTTAAGGACAGAAATCTTAACAGTAATTTTGATTTTTAGCAAAGATATTCCCACAAATGTTTACTTTGGTCCATAAAATACAGTATAAAAAAGCTATGAATTCTATGTCTTAAGAAGAAGGCAAGTGAGCAAGCATCAAGTCCAGTTGGCTCTGTGGTGGAAGCTGCTCGCTGCCCCAGGTATCGTGCTGGCTTGTATGGCAGGGGCACGGGCTCCCAACACTGATCCAATATTACCCGAGCAGCAGGACCCCATGAACCTGGCAGAAGGAGGTTAGCAAAGTTAAACCCTCTTACTACATGCCTCACTGCTCAGGGACAACCACCAGCTCCTCCAACTGTCCACTGAACACGGCCCCTGTCAGAGAATGTCGAGGGGTCATATACACTGACACTTCTCGCACTTATAAGTCTCAAGATAAGCAGTTATTTGTGTATGATATGATTTTTTTATAAGCAAAGTCATGTAAAATTCCCCCAAAGCAATGTTAAAGTCGAGGTAAACTTGTCACAGCAAAGATGATGGTTTTATTATAAACACGATGCATTTGAACATTTAGGAATTTAATAACTCATTGATTCTGAAAGTAATTTGGATGAGCATACTGACTGAAACAGACTGTGTTTTTCTAAAGCCTCCTCTCAAGCCAGCGAGTAGGAGAAGGTGTGTTCTGATTTCCTCTGTGCTGCCTCAGTCCCCCACTCCTCCAGCTCTGTGTCTTCCAAGACGTCGTACGGCCGGCAGATGGGGCGTAGAGATGAGATTTGAGAGAGTGTTTAAGCCCGAGCCATGGGGAGCCTCTTCAGGGTCGGTGGAGAGCAGATAATCCAACAACTCGGGTGAGGGGATTACACACCTACAGGCAGACCTATGCTGTTGGGTCCTGCTGTGGGGCACCTTACACAGGTCACCCCTGTGAAATGTGGCTGTGGTAATTGTAGTCAATGTCAAATCACTGCATTTTGATGTTAGATTGACTCACAGCTTGGTGGATTCACCTTCCCTTGTAGCTGACCTTTATACTGATTTATTTGACACAAGATATGTAAATATTCTGTTGAAAGAGTTGTGGTGATGTGGGATGGAGTTTGATGGTGGAAGCAAGCATGGCTTCCAAAAAATCCAAAATGTTTACATTATCAGCAATAAATAATAATAAAGCTTTTTAACCAGACCTGATATGTATCACAGAAGTAGCAGAATAATACTTAGTTTCTTTTTAAATTAGGATGACAATAACTAACTCCAGCAAACCTGATTTGAAGCATCAACAGCATAGGGTTGTACCAAATTAAATAGACTGACACATTTATTAAAATGGTAATCCCCAAATTCAAAGATATGAGAGAGAAACACACATATTTCTGGGCAGAATCAAATTAAACAATATCCAATTGGGTCATACATACATGCTCTTTTGCTTTTTCGGTCATGTTGGCACCACCCAAGCAATGTCAGGATGCATTTCCTCTCAAGCAAGTGAAGGGGTGTGCCACTGTGCCACAATCTGCACCCGCTTCTCAGGCAGGCTAAACCCTTTGACACCCCCGTTTTTAATTAAAATTACATTAGGAGTAATCAGCCAGAAGAGTTGGGGATGGAGGTCAGAGGCATCGAGGGAGGGCTGGGTGAGTGGAGGTCTGATTTGCATAGATGATAAAGGGAGAGAGTTTGACCCTAAATCAGTGATCTCTGCTGCAATGGTTAGGGTTAGATGCTGCTATTTTCATGCCTGGATAGCTTGTGGTTGTGTCATCTTTTTGTGGGGATTTCTACATTTGAAAAAACAGGAATAACAATACTGTAGGCAAATATAATATTTTATTACTAATATGTATTAAAGCGCTGTACACCGAACTAGCAAATGTGATAATTAGTAGAGTTAATGAGATTAAAGTTGGATAACTTCCTCTAGTTTCTGCAATGTTCTCCTATCCTGTTCTGACATTCTCAGTGGTGATTCAGTCAAATTAACTTGTTGAAAGGCTTCTCTCTTTAAAAAGAGGCACATATGGCTTTCTCACTGCATCTGTAAAAGGGGAAGACCAAATGTTAATATGACTTCCTTCTTCCCAGAGACAGGAGAGAGCTGAAGAGAGAAGGCTACAAAGACCCCATTCGTTCTCACTTGAGGGGCTCTCGGCAAGGTAATTATAAGCTTTATGAAAGTACACAGCAAAAAGTGGAAGAAACCCACCAAAAGAATAGAGAGACAGGAGAAGAAAATTACTTTTCCCCCTCTGCCTTCGCTTTATGGCCCTGTTAACAAGAGACGAGGCGGCAATGGATGGAGGAGGACTTCTTCAGGAGGCATCCCGGGGCTTTTTGCGGCGAGGCAAACAGCGTCGAGGGAGAGCATTCAGCCCTTCTTCTGTTTCTCCCATTCATTAAGGCAGCAAACCTTTGACCACTCTACAATGACCAGAGTTTTCCCTCATTACATGGTCCATCTTGATGAAAAGATGAAGAGGACAGAGGCGAGGAGAGCAGAAATGAAGACCACACTATTTGAATAGGGGTTTGGTATAGAATTCACTAGCACTAAACAACACCAAAGAGAACATCTTGTCTTTTGATCAAGTTTTTTTTCCCCATCTCTCTCCCCTTTCTTTTCTAGAATATGATTCTCTCTAGGCTTCTGTACCCACATTACCTACACTGTGCTGAGTGTCTGAATGCGGTTAATTATCTAAAAGGAAAAGTTTGTACCTGTTGAAAAGCTGTCCTTGGTTGCTTGGCTTGTTAATGCCAACAAAAAGCAGCCATAGCGAATGGTCAGAGGACACCACATGCTGCGGGAGCCTTTCAGACATGTCCCTAATAAGAATGCCGTGCCTCTGAATGCATGCGGGGGAGAGGAAGATAGGTAAGAAGGAGAAAAGAAAAGAAAGGGGAAAAACATCTTTTTACCTCTCCATCTATA